TAAATCGAAGCAGATTCAAATGCTCTTTCAAACTATATTAGGGTTTCCTATACCTATCTAGCTCAGATTTTCAATAAAAAGCGATTTTTAAATAAAATTGCAATCAAGATGGCTGGTGTCGCCATGGCAATTTTCTAGTGACAGTTAGTAACTATTTCCAAAGTCGACATTAGTTTATGGACATTATTATTTATAATTTATAACAGTTTACTTAAATTTATCTACAGTAGTTTAATAAGAAAGTCTCCATTATTTAATCAAGAAAAATAAAGCAGTATCTGCTGGCGGAACGAGTATATATGTTACTAGTGATATTATTTTGTGAGGAAAATTGTTCCTTGGCCTCAAGGGCTTATGCTCAAAGATATCCAAATAGGAATCTTCCTGATAAGCGTTTCTTTGAAAAACTTCTTGTCCTATTTCGCAGAGCTGGTAGTGTGGTTTATAAAAAACCTATTAGGCAGAAACCTGTCGTTGAAAGTGAATAAAATGAATTTGCCGTAATTGGCTATTTTATAGAAAATCCATATATCTACAAGTCATCGTAAACTAATTCAAAGAGCCACTTCTTTGTTTTTCTTGATAGAATAATATACATATATTTAATAAATATTATTTATTAAACTAGGGTAGGGAAATTAAATAAAAGTAAACTGATATAAATTTAAATTAGTCCATAAACTAATTTCGATTTTGAAAATAGCTACTAACTGTCACTAGAAACTTGCCATGACAACACTAGCCATCTTGATTACAATTTTATTGAAACATCGCTTTTTATTCAAAATCTGAGCCAGATAAGTATAGGAAACCCTAATATAGTTTGAAAGAGCATTTAAATCTGCTTCGACTTATTTAAAAAATACGTAGTGTGGCATTTGAAATAACGAAGTTTTTATGTAAAATAAATATTTAAAATAGACCAGCAATTTTTGATACACCTGTATACATTTAAGGAAGGAATAACATTTTTTCTGTAAAGTTTATTTCTCTACCTTTAAACTCAGCACAAGAACTAATTCTGAAATGTAATGTACAGGGTGTTAATAATATATTCTATTGTAGCATGCAAATTTAAATATCTTTAAATATCTCAAAAACCAAAGATTTTAAACATATTTAACCCTTATAATAAATACCCTTTTTGGGGTCCAATAATCCAAAAATAAAATAAAATAGCGGGTGTTCCATAAGAAAAAATATCACTTTGGTATGGATCTTAGTTCTGAAACACCCTGTACATTTCAAAATAATTGTAAATTGTGCACATTACCTCTGCACATATACCCATAAAATATTTTGTTTCTACATCTTTCCGTTTTCGTATAATCAACCGAGGCGAATGAGGTGCGCCACCCTGTACAATTACTATCTGTTATATTTATTTTAATGAATGGATGATAATGGTTATGGGGCAGAGAAATATTTTACAATCTAATCCCTATCTAGAAATATCTCATTTGTTTCGAGGTTTACAAACAAATATTAAATATAAAAGTAATAAGGACGGTTAAGATACACATTTTAAATCTATTATAGAGTACACAAGGTGCTTCATAAATGTGTGGCGAATATAACAATATATTTTTTTAAATGCAACCCCTTATTTTTTATTTTACTTTTAGATTCTGCGTAAAATTCCATAACTTTTTTATATATAATGTCATATATGTTACGCGCAATAGTAGAATTCGGGCAATGCCCGAAAAAAAAATTCGCAAATCTAGTTTTGAGCAAGGAATATTTCCCAAACCCGAAAAACCAACTAACCAATGAATTAACACCCTCCAAATAACCACGCTAACCAACTCGCCAAATAACTAAACCAATCCAGCCAAAAAGAGTGAAACCAATGCAATCAAATCACACTATAAGCAAAAAAAAAATAATCGAATAAAATTAATTTTTCGGGTTTGGGTTAATATTCCTTCCTCAAAACTAGATATGCGTATTTTCTCCGAGCATTGCCCGAATTCGACTATTGAGCGTAATATATATAATATCTAAAATTAATAGTTTTTGTAATATTTAAACTTGTTTAAACAAATGTTACTTTGCAGTGTGGTAAAAAATTGTCAGTGAAGCCATTATTTCTTAAGTTGGACACCTAAAATTTGGTAGGAGAATTTTATAGAGATATGGAAAAAGACGTATGTAAAGATATTTTAATTAGATGCTACAGGGTGTTTAAAATATATTTATGAATTTCAACTACTTGAAATTAAGAAATTTCCAATTTTTTAAACTGTACACCCTATATATTATACTATGTTATATACCTATTTTTAATGGTTTGGGATTTATTCCAGTTATTTTCCTATTTTTACCCATACTTTTAATTACAATTACGTTATAACATTATAGTTGCCATGACAAAAAATAATAATTATCAAAAGTTCATGTCTGTAAAGCAAGTTAACTTGAATTTTATGGAAGAGATAATAGTTTTAATGAATAAAATATTTACCTGAAAATTAATTAGTGAATGTGACTGATATACACGAACAAGCCAAGTAAAACATATTTTTGGTTCAGTACTATATTATAGTACTTTGTTAAGTACTATAAGAATAGATGTAGATCATCTAGGACACAATTTCATATTATATTATATTATTTTCAGTGTGTAATGAGATGGTTTCGCGGCAATAGTTATATTGGCTTTACGAAATGAATTATAAACCAGAATTACTACAAGAAAAAAAAACTTTACTGTATGGCAGAAAAATTTTCTATATCAATAGTTGTCAACAATTAGGTAATCTAGTATTACCCCAATCTGTGGTTATTTACCCCGACGGAAAATCCAAGTGTCATCTTTCCTATTATAGAAATACACCAAGAAATTGATGCGATGCGATTTTAGTTTTTTTGAGTAAAGTTAATTAATTTTAACTAATTACTAAACTACTTGTTAAAGATAAGTAATAAATATTAATGAATATATTTTGGTTTTGTCATGGCAGCTGTGATGTTTGGTTTGGTTAGGTTAGGTTAGGTTAGGCGTAATTGTTGATATTAAAAATATGAGTAAAAATAAAAAAAAATTGGAGTAAATCGTAAACTATTAAAAACTCGTAATCTATTAAAAATGTATTAACTATTAATAATATGTATATGACTTAATGAAAGTTGAAGAGTTTTGTAAGATATATATGAGAAAAAATAATAATATATAGGGTGTACCTTTAAAAAATTTGAGATTTTTTAATTTTAATTAGTTGAAATTCATAAATATATTTTGAACACCCTGTAGCATTTATAAAAAAACTTATAAAACTCTCCTACCAAATTTTAGTACACAAATTTCAGAAACAATGACACCACTAACAATTTTTTACCACACTGCAATTTAACAATATGCTTAAACAAGTTTAAACATTGCAAAAACTTTTAATTTTAGGTATATAATATATTAAACACTTTCCAGTGCATATCACCATAACAGGTGCCCGTGTGCACTTGCTCTTTCTTTTTACCCACTCTTGGTCCCTTCAGAACCCACGGTGGTTTTATCTTTGATTAAATGTTTTATTTTAATAATAAACAATTTGCGTGGATTGCACTGCTAGTTTGGTGCCTTGCCTTTTCTTGGATTGTCCAAGCCGCATATTGTCTTTACATTTGTCATTCAATTGAGTCTCAATTATTGATGTTGTTTGTTCCCCCCTCTACAGAGTGTTTTTGTAAGTTTTATACCCCATGTAATTTAAAAATGTTACCAATGTTTACGTAAAAGATTTCTTTAAAAAAAATTTTGCAAATTGATTTAGCTGACAATTGCTTCACTGTAAACTATGGAGTGTAGAGGTAAGGAGAAATAACTCTTACGGGACTTTTATTGAAAAAGTGGTCACAAAATGGGAAGAATAAGGGTTCGCCAAATAACCACAGTGGCGCTAAAAACGCATGATTCTAAAAAATGAAAAGTAACCATAGATAAGAGAATAAAAATAAATATAACCAAACATTACCCAAAAAAATTTTGTTTTTATTTTTCAGACAGAGTTTTGAATATAAAATAATTATTGTTTATCAATATTTTGTGCTTTATTTATTATTTAACAATGGTTAAAGTGTGTGTGGTGCGAAGTTGATTGAATAGCTGATGGAAAAATAAAGAGCAAAGGCAAAGCCTACGGTATGTAAAATACATAATATAATTCAGTATTGTATTATTTGTATTATATGTAAAAATTAGAGTCAATCAAAAGTGTAGTAAACATTTTTCGTAAGATTATTGACATACATGTTACAAAATATATTTTTACAATCCTTTTTATAAAGTTACAACCTAAATAAAATTTATTTTTAATGATTTTAAAGTTTGACAGACATGCACAAATTGTTGGCATTTTTTTAAACAAGTAAAAGTAGGAAATACATAAAATTGTAGGTACTTTCAAGAAATATAGTTAACTGTAAGTGCTGTATTTTAATAATCTATCAAAAATCAAAATCATCAGGATAATATTAGGTATTGATTTTCAGACAAGAATTAGATTACAAATCTACAGATAAGGTGTGGCAGTTTCATTTTAAAGAACAAGATGTTAAAGTTTGTGATAAAATTGTTATCAGAAATACTGTCCACTTCAGTATTTACATAGGAAAATATTGGAGAATGAAGCTCTACCTACTGCCTCAGGTTAATTTAAATTCTGAATTGCAACAACAGCAACAAGCAAGAAGGGCACCATTAAATGAATATTATACACATAAGTACCGTATGATCGAATAAAAACGGCGTCCAGTTGGCTTGGAAATGACGATCGATGGCATTTCTTATATAAATTTACATATAAAATGACAGCGATCTTCATTTCATAGCCATCGCTGACGCCGTTTTTATTCGATCATACGGTATTATTATACACAGAAAGAGTAATGTTATACACATAAATATTAACATTTTGTAGAGCAACAACACAATGAAAAACCAAAATATGAACACCAGCAACTAAAACAGGAACCATTAAATGAATATTACACACGTAAGTACAATTTGATCGATCGAATAAAAAACGGCGTCAGCGATGCCTATGAAATGAAGATTGCTGTCATTTTATATGTAAAATGATATGGAGAATGTCATCGAGATGTTCATTTCCAAGCCCACTGGACGCCGTGTTTTTTCGATCATACAGTATTATTATACACATAAATAATAATATTATACACATAAACATCCCTTGATAAAGATCAACATTTTGTAGAGCAATAACAGCATCAAATAATGGAAATAATGGACCCTACTGCTCAAATCAAAAACAAAATTTCATCATTACCACTTTATTGGTTATATCAATAAAAGAAATTATTGAGTTTATGAGTCTAGATCCTACAAGCAAGCAGATCTATCACATAATTTAAAATGAAGATTTATCTATTATAGTATGTATAAACACTTTGCATCTTTTATTCAATGTTGTAATGAATTAACAAATTGCAGGTAATTTATTCTAATAATGAAAAAGAAACTTTGGATCAAAAAATATTTTCTTCTGATGAGGCTTATGAATATTAAAGTCTGTTGAAGTTTGGCCATTATGTGTTGGTATACAATTTATTTATGATGTTACAGTAGTTAAACCATCCGAATACAAAACATATTTAAAATCCACTATTCTTAATGAACCAACTTGAGAGGAAGCTAAGAGAAAGGTTCTATTGGGTGGACTACAAGAAAAAGGGACATATACATGAGGATCTGGAAGGGCTATAACATTACGTCTCAAGCCATGGAACAATAGGAAACAAAATTCAAAGGAAAATATTACAATACGTGGGATGCAAATTATAGTGCAAAGAATTGAGAAAAAGAATTATTAAAAGTAGTTATAGTTACGATAGTTAAACCATCTGACTACCAAATATATTTAAAATCCACTATTCTGAATGAATAGCAGCTACCAACTTGGGAGGAAGCTGCGAGAACGATTCTATTGGGTGAACTACAAGGAAGACATGAGCATCTGGAAGGGCTATAAAATTATATTATTATTTCACGTCCCAAGCTATGTTGGAATAGCTGGGAGTGAAAAAGAAGATAATACTGCACACGATTCTTGTCTAGAAGTAGTTGATATTAAGGTAGTTAAGCCATCCGACTATCGAACATTTAAAATCCACTATTTTGAATGAATGGCAACTACGATGGAGCAAAACGTAAATAAATACTTGTACAGTATAAAATTATATTATATTGGCTTAATTTTTATACTACAGAAAATGTGTTACGTTATTTTTGACCTGCATTATATTTATTTAAATCCCATATCATCAATTAAACTTTTAATAAAGTTTTTCTAATTATAATTAACATTAATTTTAAACTAAAGCTTTTTCATCTTGAATGAGATTTACGAAATAACTTATGAGAAACAATAAAAAGAGGCTCTGATATCTGAATAATCAATAATAAAACCACATATTGACTTACTTTTATACTAAATAAATGTAGATATGAAGTTATTTTAAAGCTGCATTATATTTATTTTAAACCCATCACCAATCATTACTTTAAATAAAATTTGTCTTAATTATAATTACCATTAATTTTAAGCTAAAACGATAAGAATATTTTTTCGTCGTCTTGAATGACATTTGCGAAATAAGTTATGAGAAACAATAAAAAAGGGCCTAGTGTATTGCTGCTGAATAAAAATCTGTAATTTATTTCATGCAACATGAAAATAAAATTGTATTTTTTTTAAACCCACGGCTTCGCGTTTGCTTCACGTCAAATATTTATATCTTGAATCATCTGTTCTAAAATGTTCGGCGCATGTCTTAAATTTTAGAATCTTGCTACAGCAGCGCCATCCTAATTCTTCCCTTTTTTTGACCATTTTTTAATGCACGGAGTTATTTCTCCTTACCTCTACACTCCATACTGTAAACATTATCGACAGATTGTTGTCGTCATTAACTTTTTTACATGCAGCCTTTTCTAACTATTTGCAATGTACCTCTTTTTTTGTGCTCAATGTTTTTCTGGTTGCAGACATTTGGTGACATCTTTTGAATTGTAAATGTAATCGTATATGACCACCTATTTTTTCTGGTTGCACGAGTAAGGGTGTGTATTAAATGTCTTTATAAGTGTGCGTGCCTTGATCACTCCACTTTGCTACATGAATATAATGACTGACATGTCAGAGCCCTGTTTGGCATCCATAGATCATTTTTATAAACTTGACGTTTGATAATTGACTGTTGACAGATGTATGTCGCGGTTGTCGCCTGTCAGTTACTTTGCGCCTTCATGCCTTAGATTGAGACGCAATTGAATTTTTAATTTTTAATTGAACATCTCTTAATTATTCCAATGTTCTAAATAAATATCAGGCGGCTTAACCGCTCTATAAGAGCCCTCTTCCCCCCTTTTTTGTGGTTGACTGGTCAGCGATGCTTCACGGTGGAGTTATCAACACGAGCCATATTTTTTAATGTAGTTTTTTTATGAAGGTCTTTTCTGTACCACGTTAAGTAAGTTTTTATTCTTAACTTTTAGAGCAATAATTATCTAACGTGTATTTCCATTTTAGTGTCCTGAGGAAGGAATAAATAAATTCCGAAAGCTTGACAATTAACAAAGTGTATTAATTCTTTGTCAAACCCTTCCGACTGCAACCCCACTAGTTCCTAGATTTTCTTTCTCACTAGTCAGTCGAGACTACTTTCTGCTAATATATTATATGTATAAAAAAGTTATGGAATTTTACGCAAAATCTAAAATTGAAATAAGAAATAGGTGTTCCATTTAAAAAAAAACATATGTCATACCCGCCACACTTTTTTGAGGCACTTTGTATATTTTATAATAATTTTAAAATCTTAACCTTCCCTATAACTTTTATATTTTTTTTTTGTAAACCTCGAAATAAATGAGATAATGGACTTTACTATATATACTCAGCCTGTATTATACGCATTTCTTTGCATGCACAATAAGTATTGATAACTGTAAAATTTAATGTGATTTAAAGTAAATATTCTAAATATCCATTCAAGTAAAAGTAATCATTAACATATTACTTATAAGCTTACTACTAAATAATGACACATTTAATACATATTCTATAATTATACTCCACCAACGCGTTCATAAATGTTTCAGTGGGATTTTAGTACGAGCTAAAGATAAATTCCGGCTGGAAATGCAATATTTCGAAGTCTTATTAACACAACGTACACAACGACACCCAGGGGCGTTAGCAATAACATTTATTAAACGTAAGTGTAATTTATTTATGTTGACAAACTTTATTTTTGTCGCATTTCTAAATTAAATGTGTAAAATAATAAAATGATATATTTTTACAGGAAACGTTTTAGCAATTTCTCAAAGAGCTCTACGTTTGAATTATTTAATAGCTCTATATTGCTTGTTTACAATTGTTATACGTTACATTTTTTAGTATTAAATTTCTTTTTGACTCTATCGTCATGGCTAGTTATGATCTTTAAATTACCCCTTGGATCAATGAAACAAGATTTTTCCGTTGATTGAAGACATAAGAAGATTCGCAACCTTATGGGCGATTTCGTGGCACCAAACATGTCCGAGATGTAGCTGGCAATACCGCCGCCGCTAGTCCACTACTTGTCCGAGAACTAGTTTAGCTTTGCGCCGCTGCGCTGGGCGCTGATAGTCGTTTACAGAGCAGCGGATAAAGAATACTGTCGACCGAGTGGGCGGTTGCCGGAGACAGTGTTGCCAGAACTACGAATTAATCCGTTTCATTTACGGATTTTATGTGCAGTACACACTGTACACACACTGCTTTTGTTATGATATAATACTGATGAAGGCTATAATGTTAGCCGAAACGTTTGTTTTTTCCAAACCAGATAAAGTTACTTAAACCTAATCAGCGTTTTTTCCGGAACCTGAATCCCAAGAAAATCGAACTTAGAATATTAAGAAACACGGTTAAAGAACTTCAAATTTTCGAAGATTAATATGTAATATAGATAGACTAACAAAGCACAAGAAGTATACAAAAAAAAACTGAACATAAGTCAATTAATTTCATTATTATAGTATATTACTCCTAAACCAATCTAAAATAAGTTAATAAAAACAACTATTACTTTGAAAACTAATAAACAAATACACACTTATCAAACTAGAAAAAAATTAGATGTCAGAGCAGCTAAGAGAACGTAAATAAAACTTTCACAAAATCTAACAACAGAAACTACCACAAAATGCAATATGTTATCCATTTAGATATAACACAATTAAATTACAAAAACTTTAAGAAGAAAATCATAAACATGATATTTAAGAAAATTATATAAAAGTAGATGTAGTTATGTGAAAATCGACCAACTTATAAAAAAATTACGCTTTCGATACAATCTGTCCAGGTAGAGTCTTAAAAGTCTTCAAACTGTTGCAGAGGATGAATGATGTAACCGACAACTGCGACTAAGTTTCAAATCAAGTAAGTAAAATTTAAAATTTTATACCGGGTGCGTCTCAAAAGTGGCTCACCCCCTATAACTTTTTTATTTTTTCAGATAAAAAAAAACGAGATTTGGTATATTAGCATATGACATAAATAAGGATTGATTGACGCATTCAATTGTTTTCGGTCACTTCCTGTTTCACCGGAAATGACTACAACTTTTGATTTTTAAATAGCATCCTCGGTATTTTTTACTTTATTCGATAGAAAATGACACTCTGAATCGAATTGCATATCATATATGTCAACTTTTGACATATTCGCTCAAAAATAAATTGAATTTTAAATTTCAATCTAGAGTGCCACGACTGTGTTAAAAACACTAATTTTTGATCAAGGAGCCTTGGAAGCATAGATTTGATCGTCTAATGTTTTTAGTGTATTGTCCTGGCCGTAAGATGCTCAAATTGGATTTATAATCATTTCTCAATTTTTTCAAATGAGAGAACGAGGGTGGCTCATTATTTATTATTTATTTAGCGTATGGCATATTAAGACACAAAGCACGTATATGACAAAAAGAAAGAAAAAAAATTACAAACAAACATTTAACAAATTAATATAATCTATTGATTCTGGAGTTGCAAGTAGGAAATCTTCTCGTTAGCCATTATAAGCCGTTTCAGGGCATTCCTCCACGATATGTTTGATGGTCTGATTTTTGCCGCACTCGCAGTCGCGCGCTCTAATATTGTTATGTATGCAAAAAAAAGTGGAATAAATACGACACATGTAACAATCTGGAAATTTGTTACATTTACTCATTTTTGATGAGCACCCACGAGGTTTCATAAAAGTCGGCGGCCCTGACTCGGCAGACTGCTACTAAAACTGCTACTAACCAACAATTTGTTTTGCGTAGTCTGTGGTCTGTTTTGGTTTAAATGTTTTGTTCGTTATTCATGTTGGGTATTTATTTTTAAATTAATTGTAATCGTTAGTTAGCCAGTAAACTCATAGACTATGTATTTCTTTTGCATAATCAAAATTG